AGAAACTCTTTTTTTAATCAAAAGATAGCGCTTGAAATTCTGCACAAAACTATATACGGTTAGAACGAAAAACTATTTTAGATATATTTGAAAATAGATCAAAACTAAAGACATACAAAAAACTGTAAAATGTAACGGGTCGAGTATAATGAATGGCTGCACTTTCCATCGCATTTCTTCGTTATGTCATTCTATTAGAAAACAAAACACACCAAAAGATGCAGCATGAAAAGCTCTACAATTTACAAGGAATAGTTATAAAAAAATGAATTCATCCTGTATCAAAAAAAAAGTGCCATATTCTCATGGTCGAAATTTGATGGCTCAAAATTTTTTTCATTTTGGAAACAAAACTACAGCTATAAAATAAGCGATCTTATGTAAATTGTAGAGCTTTCCACGCTGCATCTTTTGGTATGTTTTGTTTTTTTAATAGGGCGAAGTAAGTGATGAAAAAATGGAATGCAAAGTGCCGTCATTCATAATGCTTGACCCGTTATATTTTACAGCTTTTTGTATGTCTTTAGTTTTGATCTATTTTCAACTATATCTAAAATAATTTTTCGTTCTAACCGTATATAGTTTTGTGCAGAATTTCAAGCGCTATCTTTTGATAAAAAAAGTGTTTCCATCACGGGAATAATATAGGAGAAAGCTTAAAAATACTAAGGGTATAATTATTTATGGAACACCCGTTAGATCATAGTAAGACTGTTGAAAAGCTAAAAAAAGATTCTTGGCCATGGATCTTTCTTTTTGAGTTATGACTATTTTGATGATCTTTTTAATAAAATATCAAGATTTACTCTGTTCATCTTTAAAATTAACTTTCGAGTTTAAAAGGCAAACTTTGCACAAACAAAGTTCTTAACATATACAGTTCACCGTGAAAGTGCCAGGCTTTTAGTGTCTCTTATTCTTTGATATCAACAATGATATTTATATCGCAGAATATGACATATTAAAAAAGTTTGATACTTTCATAATGAATTATAAAGTTTACTAAAAATGATTCTATCTGAACGAGAAAAATCTATGAACATGAATCTTTTTAGGCTTTGTCTTATCTCAATCAGGTCAACCTAATGAAATAAGATTTATTTTAAAAAAGCGATTTATTTCTTTGTAAGATTTCCTTATAAATATTTTTGATCTTAATTCCAATAAACTTCTATTGGCAATTCTAGTCTAACAAGTAGAAACAGAGATCGTAACTAAACTTCATTTCTGTAGATCTCTTATTGTAGTTGTACATTTTTCTTTCCTAATATTAATAAATAAAAACTACATGATTTTTTTCTCTAATATAGTTCCAGATGAATGTACAAATGATGCGTTTGGTCTTGAACATTTTGCACGTGTTTTCAATGAGCGTTATGGTTCAACAGGTCCTATTCTCTATATCGGTCCATTAGATCAAGCAATACAAGATTCACTTTATTCATCAATACATATTGTAAATATAAATATAAATCTTTTTCTATAAAAATAAAAGACAATATTTATTAATAGAGACGTCCATTAGCTATTTATCTTCACAATGAGCAATCAGTCTGTGCTAATGTATTTTGTTCTCAAGTCTTATCAGCTGATTCAATTGTTGAATACTTAGCAAATAATTATGTTCTTTGGGCTTGGGATATTACAAATGATGGAAATCGAAAACGGTATTTAATAAAAAAAAAAAATAGAAGAATAAGCGTTTCAAATCTTGAATTATTTTAGATTATTTGAAACACTTCGACGATGTATTGGTAATCAATGTGCTCAACGTGTAGGTGCAATGGAATCTGATTCATTTCCATTATTACTTATTCTTATACGTTCTCGTGGTTCATTAGAATTAATAAATGTAATTGAAGGAAAAAGTACACCAAGTGAAGTTTTACTCAATCTTATTCAATCACATGAATCATTTGAAGAACAACGATTACGTGAAGTTGATGGAGAAGTTATGCGTGAAAAACGTGAAAATCTTAAAAGACAACAAGAAGATGAATATGAACAATCACTTCAAGCTGATTTAGCTAAAGAACGTGCACGACAAGAAGAACAAAATGCTAATGAACGTTTAAAACAACAAAGATTAGTAAGAATTATTTTATTGTTTTCATAGAATATGCATTTAATTTTATTTTAATTATAGCAACAAAAAGAAGAATCTAGAGCGCGTCTACCAGAAGAACCAAGTGAAACAGAAAAAAATATTACTCAATTAAAAATTCGATTACCTAATGATGAAGGTGTACTTAAGAGACGGTTTCGTATTAATGATACTCTTCAAGTATGATTTCTCATAAATATTCAACATAGAACATTTTTGGTTTTTATGAAACACAATCTAAAAGAAGTGTTAAAGTATAAAGGATAGAAATTTGCACTTCTCACAGACTGTGATAGATGTTGTTGACATATGACGAAAGACGATATATTAATAACGTCTCATTATTATGTATTTACTATTTTCTTATTATATTTCTGGATGATTAAGTAAAAAGATAATGAAGCAATATGCCCCAAGATAACAATTTCCCTGTTATTATCAAAATTAGCTGCATTGTATTTGACATTTTAAATAGCGCAAGAATTGCGCAGTTTCTTTTAGATAAATAAAAACATAGCATAAGATGGTGGAAAAAACTTAATGATGTTTTTGTTTTGTCTGCTATACTAAACAAATAGTTCAAATTCAAATAGAGACTTTAATAGTCAATAGATTTTTCTATCTAATGCATTCTCTGACAAGACTTCATAGATGAACTATGATCGCAAGAGTTCTAAAAAGTCAGACATGATATTCTCCAGGTACCAGAAGACTATTTTTTTAACGTTGCTATTTTAAAGGGCACACAATGAGTTATTGTCGCATTTTCTATGACCTTTCTTTAAAAGTTAAGGTATTACAAAAACCGGAAAAAAAACAAAATTTATCTAAAGGTCGATTAAGACACGCCTTTTTTCAGTTTTTGTGATATTTGTAAGTTTTTAAGGAAGATCATAGAAAATGTGGAGATCTTTTGTTTTATGCTCTGTAAAATGGCATTGGTGATTAAATAGTCTTCTGGAACCTGAGAACTACTGTGTCCAACTTTTTAAAAACCTTGCTATCGTAGTTTATCTATGAAATCTGGCTATAGAGTGCACTAGATAGAGAACTTCATTGACTATTAAAATAGCTATCTACACTTGAGTCTAATTACTTAACACTATAGAAAAAAAAATCATTAATACGTTTTTGTTAAACTTTTTCCATCATCTTATTTTATTTCATAACAGAATAATTTCTTTTCACAAAATGTCTCCAAAGACTTCGTATCCGAACTAGATTTTACTCTCATTGTTATAGAGGATAATTTAATTTTTTCAATATCAGTAGTGATATTAAAATTAAAATTAGAAGATCATACATAATCAAAGATTGTACATAGATTCAAAAAGTCTATTTCATTAAAATAAGAAAATATTTATAGAACTAATGAGACGTATAATTTAGAAAAAAAAACCTATCATCAAAATACAATTCTAAACATTGAATATCTCTAAACGTGGCTTTTACTGTTGACATTTAGGCGTGCGACAGCTCACAGTTCAAGAATGTGGAAGACCTGAATCAAACTATTGATAATTAACTCTTTTCGAATGAGTGGACTCATTGATGAACTCTTTATTAGAGCAAGGTGTAGTGAATAGGTCTTTCTGCATGAGCAATTCGAATGAACGGCTTCTTTTTAGGCGAAGTAGATTATTAAGTGACCTGTTAATCGTATCCACTTTGTTTGTGAGAGATTCATTTTTAGGTTACGTAGGCTGATTTGGAAATGTGAACTGACACAAACATATTGGAAAAGATGACATCGAGTTCATATGAAAAGAGTTATATGATCGATACCAGTATAGTTAATCAATACAGAGTTGTCACATACATATTGACAACTGAAATATCGAATATTCGATGTTTTGTATAGTTTTGATGCGTAATATTACTATTAGAATGTCCATACTTTGCCATAAACGTATTTATCTGTTACAATCTGTAATGAGTTAGACAAATAAGATATCAATGATAAATAAGAGAGCATAAAATAACTCACCGTACGCCACGTGATACAGAAAAAATAACATACGAAATTCTCTATGAACAATAGTAAATCATTTTAACTATTATTTCAAATACACGATGAAATATTTTCATTTAAATACAATTTTAAACAAGTGATCGATTTTTTTTTCGTACTTAGATGTTATTCGATTATCTCACAATTGAAGGGCGTATGCTTGGTGAATACAAACTTTTGACAACTTATCCTAAACGAGATGTATGTTATTTTTATCAAGAATCTTTTTAATACCACGCTTTTCTTTGTTTATTTTTCTCTGCAGCTAACATTACTTAATCAATCAGACACATTTGAACAATTAAAATTATATCCACAAGAACAACTTATTCTCGAATCTTTGTAGTATATTCATCAATATCGTGCACAAAAATGAACTTATTTATTCGGTTTTCTTGCTCTCAGCCGATGATACAAACGAATTCAAAATCGAAATCATCTTTTCTCCTAATGTGTTTATTACATTTTTTTTCAGCTGTTAAATTTTCTCTTTTTTTTGGTTTTTCGCTCTTCTCAATGATAACATTTTATTTCTGCATAGCAATGAAAAGTCATGGTTTTAATTCAGAAATACCACTTATAAAAGATAAATTCAACAAACAATGTAAAGCATGTCATAATCTCTCAGTTATAGGTCTTCGCTCATATTTCAAAATGTCTTGAACAATGTTAGAATGTATTGTTTTATAATTTATCATTGCTTATGAAACATGACAATAACTCTGAGTCAACTTTGTTTTGCATATACTTGATATTTACAGATCTCAAGATGCGCTTATATTACATGACTTTCTTTCTATAGACAGATGCTTGAGTGCTTGCATGAGATATGCGTACATTCAAAGCAGATCATATATTGAATTCATGAAAATTATACAAATGGCATATTTTGAACTGATCGATTGAAATTCTTGGCTTTACCAGCGAAAAATCAGTGCGTTTCGTGTATCAATGAAGCAATCAGTTCTTTCGAAAAACAGTCTATTACTTCAGTTCTACAAAGACAAACTATGTAAACCTCATATAATGCTTGGAGTTTCTAATAGTAACAAGCCTATTTTAGTTCAAAACGCTTGGTCTAAGAACTCACAGTAATCAATATTGAACAAGATCTTTACTATAATTTGGCTAATTTTTCTCGATAATAATATAATTTCTTTACAATTGAAAAGTGTGATGTATTCTTGTTTAAAACAATTGTTTAACACAGCTGAAAGGCATCTCAATTCGTGAAAGAATACTATTGCTGACAGAACGATAAGGTGAAATAAAACGTACGGTTTATATATCGGACTTTGTATTTTAAGGTTTATTAATATCTAAATATTTTCACAGTTACATGAACTAGCAGTTGATAAGAGAACATAATCTTTTCTGATATCTTGTACTGAAAGTATGAACTGAAAATAACTAGCTATTGAGCTTATATAACAATCGGTTAAAAGCAGTCTAGACAGATGTGCTCAAAATTTCGAGTTGAAAAACCTTTAGTTTAGACTGAACTTAACTTTTAATGTTTTGCTAATTTTTTGCGAGCATAATAAATTCGTTCAGTATGATCCAGGGCTCTCATCATATGATGAGAAAATGTTAGCTCAATCTTTAGAGCCGGAATTTTCATAGCAACTGGAAATTTGTCAGTTGAAAACTTCCAGACTCATATCTCTTGATCATTAAAACTATGAAAATCATTAAAAACCAACAAAACAGGCTAACTTTACAGTGTTCCCAAAAAAGTCAATAAAAATACCGTTAGGCCGGTTGATTTAGTTCCAAGGATGACGAATGAGTATGCTTTAAAGGATCGGTGGAATTACAATAACCGCATATGTTGTGTTCAAGATGAAGTAATACTACTTGCCTGGCACCT